TATGTATGAATTTTGTTGGGCATTGTCCCCCTTGCTTGTTTGAGCCCTTGTGTGCAAGAATTTTGTCAATTCCATGTTTACCTTAATAATGTACACCAGGTGTTCGATAAAATGCCTGTTTTCGTACCATTTTGTGGGAGTCGGTTGGAGCCCTTAATGCTGTGCTTTGAGAGTGTGTTTGGTATGGATGTGAACCTTGAGTTGCCTACCTTCCCATGGATGTGCACCCCCACCCCGATTATGCTTGTTTGATCAAGTTTTTGACCCCCGAACTATGGATGAAACCATGGTTCGGCTGTTTTCTGTTCTTAAGTGTGGGGGTGTGATTAACATTTTTCTTGGCTCTTTTGGTTCCATTTTGGGTTGTTCTTTTGGAGGACCATGACGAAGCCCAACCTCCAGCACCAGTTTGTTCAAGATTTGAGAAGGGGGCCCCACCAGGATCGTTTTAAGAACGTCCTGGCCTGCAAGTTTGGGCATCATCATTGCTGGTCCAAGCGAGAGTTGGAGAAGCTGAACTGCTACGAGCACCTCTCCCCCATTGTCACCAACCGCTACTGGCGCCGCCTACTCAGCATTCGCGAGAAGGTTTACCACGAGCTCGTGCTCGAGTTCTACACTACCTTCGAGCACGCAGACACGGAGGATTGGAAGGACGGTGAAGCCGTCAAGTTCAGGCTCGGCGGTGAACCACGATCCATGAGCTACAACGAGCTGGCGAATGCCCTAGGCCTCAACCTGGTCGATGACAGGGACTACATCATCGAGAGCACCGAGCAAGTGGGGGTGGACTTCGAGACACTGTACACCCGCCTCGCTCGGCCAGGTCAGCTTCCCTTCAGGGCGGGGAAGACGAAGGCCAGCACATTGCAGCTCGACAACCGCATCCTCCATCACATGCTGGCCAAGTCTTACACTCCTGCCTCAGATAGTGCCAGCGCCATCACCAAGAGAGCCATGTACTTCATCCAGTCTATGCGCCAGAGGGATCATCCCCTCCACTTGGGCTCGGTGGTGGCGAGGACCTTCGACAAGAGTGCTTCCGAGCTGAAGAAACTCCACTGCACTCCCCTCATCACCCGCTTGGCAGCCTACTTCCAGATACCTCTGCAGAGGTGCATAGAGCAGGGAGACACCAGTGCCTTTGACCGTTTTACGATCAGTAAAATGCACCTGCTTCGAGAAGTGCGAGGTGTTATGTGGATCGAGGGGTTTCCTCAACCTCAGATCCCAGAGGAGGTCCAGGCGGAGGTTCCCGAGGGTGCGACTGATGAGGAGGTCTATCCCGAGGATGTGGATGATACTGCTGCCGCCCGCCCCACCACCTTCGAGTACGGGGGTGGCAGTTCCACCTTCCCCGGCCAGGACTACGTCACTTAGCAGTTCGAGCAGCTGCGTTTCCAGAATCAGCAGCTCTACGACTATCAGATCCAGTTTCAGCAGCAGTATTCGGCTCACCATGCCGAGTACCAGACCCGGATGGCTGCGTATGATGAGCGCCTTGATAGGATGGATACCCAGCAGGGGGTGACCTTGGCGCGCATCGAGAGGGAGTAGGCCCGAGCTAGGCGCATGCAGGAGGTCCAGGGGCATCTGCTCCAGGTGCTACCGGGCGAGCAGCCAGTCTGGAGAACTCCCTGGGAGGACTCTCCACTTCCACCTCCACCAGCTGATGATGATGATGCATTCATGAATGACATCGATCTGGACAACCTTGGCGACGAGTAAGCTGTACTTGTCGCCCCTCAGTGTGTGTTTTTGATTTAGACTTTTTCTGTTTGCTCCATGTGTTTGAGGAGCTTGAACTGAGTTTGTCGTGTGTTTTGTTTCTTTTCTTTTGTGGATTGTTTCTTTTGTGGCCATCTGGGCCAACTCTGATCCCTAACGACCATGTGCTAGTGTGTTCTTGCTGTTCCCTTAGTGCAGAACTGTCCGTTCGTTCCATATGTCCCCCGTTGACTGGTCCACTTCCAGTCTCCCGCAGCATTTCACTACGGTAACATCGTTCCCCTTCTCTATCCCTCTGCTCCATTGAGGGCAATGTCGTGCTTAAGTGTGGGGGGGGGGGGGGTGCTTTGTATCGGTTTGAATCTTTACGTGTGCTTGGAGCCTAGTCCACTGTCCAAATTTGAGATTTGAGGGCTCCAAGTACGGCTGTTTGATCATATTGGCACTGTGTTTTGATTGGTGAATTGAATGGTTTTCGGATTAATGCATGACAACTGGATGGTGACTAGGACAATCTATAATGATGACTGAGACGTGCAGTAGAATTGTGTAGGGTTCAGTTTTTCAACTGTTTGCTTACCAACTGTGACTTGGATTGATTACTTGTTCTAGACAGTCTCTTATGCATCTAGTTCAGGGAATCAGAATGAGAGATAGAGCATATAGGTATCCATGTGAGATTTGAGCCTGCTCGTTTCTTTCTTGTGCGATAGTTCCCTCTTCCATGATGTGTAGCATTCACGTTGTCATTAGCTAAGATGATGGAGGCATAGGATTAGCCCACGACCAAATTGACTGTCCTGGTGTGTCATACCCCCTAGTCAGCCCCTTTGAGCCGTGTGTTATGCTTTCTTTCAGTCTTCAATGAAAAGTCACCCTTTTGCATCTTTTAGAAGGTTCCACAGAGTGATTTTTACATGTTCTCTGCTGTTTCTGCTAAATGTAATGTGAGAGTTGGAGGTAGTTCTTAAAAAGTTGGGCAGGTGTTTGAAAATGTGTAGAGATGGTGGTTCTCTTAAGAAATGAAAAAAAAAATGAAAGCAAAAGAGAGCCACCACCAAAAATCTGAATAGTGCCCATTAAGTAGTGGTTCTTAGCAGTCTGGCTTAGAAATACTGGTATTTATGTGACCTCCTTCGCTCCTGTGCTCTGAATTTGAGTAATGCAGAATAGCAGAAAGAAAGTACTGGTTTGATTGACTGTGAGTTTGTTGGGTTTGGAATTGTGGAACCTTGTGCTATGAATACTTCCACCACCTAAAAGGCCTTTTCCCCATGTCCAAGACCCTAGCCAGTCATTTGAACCTGTGTCTAAGACCTCCTGATTAGTTAGTGATGACAACCATTTATGTGAACTCTAACCTTTAGAGGCTGCCGTCATGGTGAAGAGATGTTAGGAATTGAGAGAACAGGTATGCGCATTTTTCGCATCAAATTGTCCTGACCCCACTGGTCGAGAGTGAGCGATTCATTTCCTTGTTCTTTACACTCTTTACCCGGTGAGGACCTAGATGGCTTGGTCTTGATTATGATGTCTTGAGTTTTATGCATGAGTTTACTATCTTGAGTGAGTGATTGAGTCAAGTCTATGTTGGTTGATGAACAGAAGGGAGACTCCTCCTTTACTCGATTTTGCTGCACTCGAATGTCTTCTGTGGTGGTTGTCCAGGTTGCTATTGAGGTTGTTCATGTGTTGATGATTGAAAACTAGTATGATTCACGTGTTTCTGTGCCTATATGATTTGTCCCCAATGATGGTATGGTTGAAATGTGTAAGCTTACCTTGTGTCTGACTTGGTTTGCTTGGGGACAAGAAAACGGTTAAGTGTGGGGGAGTTTGATAAGCCGTTAATTGCACATGTTTTTACCCCTATTCTGGAGCCGTTTGAGATGGCAATTCTCGTGTTTTAGGTCGATTTCATGCTAGGTTGTGTTTGTTTGTGATATTTCAGGTCCTAGCAAGTGAATGAAGGTTGAGGAGCGAGTTCGGGGTCGATTGGATGAAGATCGGGCGCGAGGCAAGTCAAAAAGGAAGCCACACGGGCACACTCACAACTCACACGGCCGTGCAAGTGACCAAGGAGGCCGTGTGGGATTGTGCGAGCCTTCACACGGGCACAATTAAATCCCACACGGCCGTGTGAAGTTGCAATTTGGCCGTGTGGAATTCTGCGAGGCTTCACACGGCCAGGCTGGGTGAGCTACACGGCCGTGTGGCCCTGGCCGTGTGGGAAGCCTGAAACCCAATTATTCGGAACGCGGCGTTTTGATCTCACACGGGCAACTGGGTATGCCACACGGCCGTGTGAGCCTGCCCGTGTGAGTCGGGAATTTCTGGTTTTTACCCAATTTCGGGCTGCAAGTGAGAAAATCGGATTTTGAGAGCAAAAACAGAGCCCTAGAGAGAGAAAGTACGAAGAACACATCCTAGAAGCTATCTTGGAGCTGGGTTTCATCAAATCGGGCTTGGAGATCGTCATAGGAGTGGAAATCATCATCCCAGAGCAGATTCTTCCCATTGTTATGAGTATGACTGCTTTGTATTCTGTTTTCCCCTCTCTCTCTATGGAGTAGAACCCTTCTCTCACTTGGGTATGAAGAAACCTAGTTCCATGTGTTAGGGATTTGATTGTAATGACTTGGGATGATATTACTGCTTGGTTTTAATCGAATGATGCATGTTTATTGAGTCAATTGAAGTCTGATCAGCTTTCCCGATTTCTGTTGCAACCTGAGATAGATAGAATCTGATTAGGTTGTTAGAGCCTCATCATTATGTAGTAGGAGATTGGCTATACGAGAGTCAGCCAGTTTACTGCTTTGTACTGCAATCCAATTCTAGTAGTGGAGTTCTGCGCTTATTGCTTCAGCTTTCTATCCCGGTGAAGACTAGTCGTCTGCCGGGTAGTTAGACTGAGAGGGCTTGGTCAGCTTAAGAGATTCCAAGCTACTGTCAGATCTTCCGCAGTCTAATCAACAGTAAATCAACCCAGGGAAATTACAATTGAAACCTAACTAAGGAGCTAGAGGGACTCATTCCCGAGTGACTCTTCTTTGCTTGAGAAAACCGTACCAATTCCTGCTTTCTTTCTGCTTTTGCTTAAAACAACAATCACTTAACTTAGTTGGTTAGATAATAGATACTCACGGAGTAAGCTGTAGATCTAGACCCCGGGTTGATAAAAGAACTTGCCATTTGACTGCATTCCCGGACTGCGATTACACTTGGTCGTAGTTTGGTGTTGTATTTTGGCGTGTCATTAGGGCTAATACCACTTGTATCCTATTTTATTCAATATTCCATTTGTATCCCGAACTATTTTTCCATTGACCGTTAATATATAACAGAAAGTTGAGTCAACATTTGATGTGGAATTTGAAATCCTTTTGTTAATTGTCTTACAACAAAAAATAATAATTAAAAAGAAAGCTTCGACTCATTCGAAATCCTTTTGTTAATTGTCATATAACAAAAAATAATAATTAAAAAGAAATCTTCGACTCATTCTCTCCCATTCCCTCACCCGCGATTTCTCCATCTCCATTTTCGTCTTCAACTCCTACTGCCACTAGTAGAGCACGGTGCTAGCATCTCCCATTTTTTCTGGTGGGTGACTTCGTGATATTTGTCGCAATCGATAGACACCACATTCCTGCATCTTCAAGCTCTTACACAGTTGAGGATAAACGCTTCCTCCGTCACCTCGATTCATTCGTCAGGACACAAGTGATATTTTTTTCGATAGTTCGTGTGTTGTAGAGGTATTAGCCCTTATTATTATTATTATCATACCAAACAAACAATCATGTGAACGTAGCCAAATCCATAATCGATTTCCTCACTTTGAGAGTGATAACCATCATTGCTACTTTGAGTAAGCCATAAACCCATAACAAACAATCATGCCCTGCCTCAAAGAACTAGAAATTCAGTGTGTGGCAACCATCTGAGGATTCTAGAAAGAGTTGACATAGTTTAGGAGCGATTACATCCGAGTGAGCTGTGTCATTCACACACACACACACACACACACACTCACACAACAGAGGTGGATGAAAGATAAAGGGGGCAAGATATTTACATGGTTAGGGCTAGGGCATGGAGTCTTTGAAGTTAGCACAGAAGGAAGGCTTCAATTGGTAAGCCTGGTCAGGACTCGAGGTCTGCAACAAAGGAGAGTATGCATCGAATCAAGGGTAGCGGCAAAAGAAAGAAGGGCCGACAGTGTCGAGTCTTGGAAATGGGTATTGTTTTTGGGATTTATCGATTTCGGATTCTGTTGTATGAGACAATGTGGAATCCGAGTGAAAAGAAGAAAATCAAAATTTTATTGAATTTTAAACAAATACACTTGAACAGGAAGAACCCTAGCCAAGCCAAGAATCTTGGCCCTTTGAAAAGAAAAAGAAACGCTCAAAACCCCTACTTCCCAAGATACAATCACCCAGTATACATACCCTGTGATTGACCTACTGAAGTAAGTACATGAATGGACCCATGATAGACAAAGCAAATACCCAATCACTCTTTCTATCAACCGCCAAGTTCGAAAGAGGGCGATTGATTCCTATTTATAGTGAGAATCATGAAATGACCGTTGCGGTGTTGAGAGAGCCGTTTCCTATAGATTGATCCTTGTAGTGATCATCATTGTGTGAAGAATAGAGGTGGTGGACATCTTCCTGGTTACTTGTGAGGAGAGAAGAGGTCTGCGAAATGGAGAGCTCGAGAAGGAGAAGAAGACTTTGAAGGACGAAACTCCAAAAATGGTCAAAACGCCTACGTTCTTTCATTGTGATGGACGTTACATCATTTTGGTGAAAGTGACACCGTTTTGGCAAGCAAAGGTCTCCAACATACCATTCAACAATTTCCCCCTTCGTTCGAGAAGTGTGGAGATACCTGCTAAATGAAAGAAAGACACCAGCAGACCACGAATCCAAACAAAGCATAATTGCATTAAATAAAACAGGATTACAGTAGGAGCATCAATCACGGGATATGAGTTTACAAAAGTGTGGAGATATCAAAGATATTCCCCCTATACAGCAACACCTAAACAACTATATTCCTAACCTCATTCCCCCTGAACAAAAGCATCATCCTGAAACCAGGAGAGTATTACAAAAGGTTGCTCAACTACATAAGAGGACAGAGAAACAGAAGGTTATGAGGCAGGAGCAGAAGCTGCAGAGTCGTCTGAGGATGAATTTCCTTCAGAGATGGTGAACACAAGGTCTCCAGTCTTACTAGGTTCACCAGTAGACTTGGCCGTTTTAGCAGAAGAGGGCTTAGGAGGAGGTCCAAGAAGAGAGGCAGAAGGGCGAGGAGGAGGAGGTATGTTAGTTGGCAGATCAAGTACCATGAGCACATTTAGTGCACTGACATACATGGTAGAGGACACACTGCGAAACTCAGATAAATCAACCCCTAGGTTGATCACCAGACATGTTATAATGGATCCAAAAGGCAGTAGGCCTTTGTAATTTTCATCACCCACAGGGAGGAGCTGGCCAAACATAATGCTTGGTATAGGGACATCAGAGCCACCAGTTCGCTCTGTTGAGAAATTGCTGTATTCCACCTCAATTTTGAACTCGTGCTTCCAAAATTCAGAAGGGTGAGCTATCCCAAGTCCCTGAGAGGGAAAACCAAGAATGCCATTCAGGGCATCGACTGGTATAGTCAACAGATGGCCATACACTAGTGTGGTGAAGCTCCTCGAGCTCACCCCTTGACATTGGAGGTTTGAGAAGAAGTACTTCACCGCTCCTGGACAGGCAGGATGAAGAGGCTGACGAAGAAGGAAATCCCACCCAAGTCCTTCAATGAGGGAGATAATGTCGTACTTGTAGACATTAAATTCATAAGGATCGAGCTGAGTGACGTGGTGGATCCTTCTCTTGTCAAAGTGTTGGAGATATCGGTGATGGTTCAGCACCCTAGGTTCATGGAACATATATACAGAGAAGGTGTGAACCAGCCCATCAAAGCGGAAAGGACGAGGGATACAATCACTCATATTTGGGAAGGCTGAAATTTTTTGCTGAGTTTGAGTTTAGTTGTTTGTCTTGTTGGAACAGTGTGAGAAGAGAAAAATAAGGAGGAGGACTTATATAGGTAGAGGGATGGGAGAAGCTGAAGAGTCTCCCACAGGAGAAAAGCAGGAAAAAACGTAATGATTAGAAAGAAGCAAGCATGACATTGTCTTGGAGCAATGCAAGCATGAGCCGAAAAATGGTTTATTTGATTTTAGCCCTAGCTCTGTGCATAATTGCAGAAAGCGTTCACTAGGGAGAGGTTTTTTTAAATAAGTCAGCCAATTGAGATTCAGTAGAAACAAACTGTAAACAAATATGTGCTGCTTGTACTAAATCTCTGATAAAATGATATTTATCTCAATGTGTTTTGTTCTAGAGTGTTGAACAGGGTTCTTTGTCATACTAATTGCACTAGTGTTATCACAACAGACTTGAATATCATTTAGTTTGAAACCATAATCAGATAGTTGAGCTTTCATCCACATGATTTGAGCACAACAGCTTCCAACTGCCTTGTACTCAGCTTCAGCAGTTGAAAGAGCAACTGCTCCCTGTTTTTTACTAAACCAAGAAACCAGAGCAGGTCCAAGGAACTGTATAGTTCCTGAGGTACTTTTTCTATCTACTAAGCTTCCTCCAAAGTCTGAATAACTGTAACCTACCAATTCAAATGAGTCAGAGATTGGATACCATAATCCTACATTGATTGTTCCCTTAAGATACGTGAATAATCGTTTAACCGCTTTAAAATGGCTTTCCTTAGGGTTTGATTGAAATCTTGCACATAGTCCTACACTGAACTGAATATTTGGTCTACTAGCTGTTAAATAAAGGAGAGATCCAATCATTCCTCTGTATTTCTTCTCACAGAATGCTATTCCTCCTTCATCTTTGTCTAACTTCAAATTTGTAGCCATAAGAGTTAGACTTTCATTTACAGAACTCATGTCAAATTTCTTAAGCATGGCTTCAGTGTAGCTAGATTGATTAATGAATATTCCTGACTTTGTTTGTTTGATTTTTAAGCCTAGAAAGTGTGATAGTTCTCCCATCATACTCATTTCAAATTCTGATTTCATGATTTCGCAGTATTTTGTACACATGGAGGGATTTGTTGAGCCAAATACAATATCATCAACATATACTTGCACAATCAGAGTGTCTGAGTTTTCCCTTTTAAGGAACAAATTTTTTTCAACATTTCCTTGACAAAAACCTTCATTTTTCAGAAATGTAGACAGCTTTTCGTACCATGCCCTAGGTGCTTGCTTTAAACCATACAAGGCTTTTGATAATTTATAAACATGGTCAGGATTTTTATGGTCAATGAAACCTGGTGGTTGGCTTACATATACTTCCTCTTTTATTTCTCCATTCAAGAAAGCACTTTTTACGTCCATTTGATATAGGGGAATTTTCATATTACAAGCATAGGCACAAAGCATTCTTCAAAATCAATTCCCTCTTCCTGTAAATATCCTTGTGCTACTAATCTGGCTTTATTTTTAATTACTTGGCCTTCTTCATCAGTTTTATTTATGAAAACCCACTTTGTTCCTATGATTAAACAATCTAATGGGCGACGAACAAGTTCCCAAGCATGCAACCTAGCAAATTGAAGTAATTCTTCTTGCATAGCACACAACCACTCATCATCAGTTAGTGCTTCTTTATAATTCCTTGGTTCTAGTAAAGAAACAAAGGCATACTGACCTGGTTGGTAATTACCTCTGGTGTGTACACCATCTTTAAGTTGCCCTATGATTTGTGAGGGAGGATGTCGTTTTTGGATATGTGCAGGAGCCTCTTTTTTCTCTTCTTTTCTAGATCCATTTCCTGGTTCACTTTTGTTATCTTGTGTTTCCTTTGAGGCCTCAATTTCCTCAGTGTCTTGTTCTTCTGCTGAAACAGGAAATAGAAAATCTATGCTCTCGGCAGAGACTTTGTAAGTACCCATAGATTCATAAAACTTAACAAACACGGATTCCTCAACCCTTTTTGATCTAAAATTATATACTCTGTAAGCCTGACCTTTAGTTGAGTATCCCAGAAATATGGCCTGTTCAGATTTGGCATCAAATTTATAGAGGTGATCCTTTGTATTTAGAATGAAGCATTTACACCCAAAAGGATGAAAGTATCCTACGTTTGGTGTTTTTTGTTTTAAGATTTCATAAGGGGTTTTATTTATAGTCTTTCTAACAAGTACTCTGTTGATCACATGAACTGCTGTCATTACAGCTTCACCCCAGAAAACTTTAGGGGGTGGTTTGGATTAGTGAATGTGATGAGGGATTTATGAGTGATTTTAAAACAATCTCTCGTTGTGCAGGATTTTAAAACAATTCTGCGTTTGGAAAGGTGAGAGATTGTGGGCATGAGGAAATTCTAAATCCCTCATATGAGAGTTTTTAAAATACCTGATGGGGATCAGCTATTTCACAATCACTCATTTTTTCTCATTCTTTTCCAAACTCTGCCCCTCCTTTTGTTCTTCCTTTCTTATTCTTCCTTAGGGATTAGGGATGGGTATAACTGTAACTTTAGTTTTTAATTAAAATCCTTCATCTATTCCCAAACATGTTATTTGGATCAAATCCCACGTTTGAAATACCTGGGTTTTTAATTGAGAGATTTTAATCCAAATCCCTCATTTACACATTCCCTAATCCAAACGAACCCTAGGTGTACCATATTCCAAGAGCATTGTTCTAGCATCTTCAATTATTGTTCTATTCTTTCTCTCCACAACACCATTTTGTTGAGGTGTTCTTGGTGCAGAGAAAGTGTGGTTAATACCTCTTTCATAACATAATTCTTCAAACTGATCTGAAATGAACTCTCCCCCATTGTCACTTCGAATTGATTTGATACCTTTGTCAGATTCATTTAGTATTCGCTTCACAAACATTCTAAAGCTACCAAAGGCTTCATCTTTTGATGCAAGCAAGTAAACCCAAGTATATCTAGAAAAATCATCAACCAACACAAAAGCATATGACTTACCACCAAGACTAGCTACGTTAGTAGGTCCAAATAGGTCCATATGGATTAGTTCATATGGTTCAGAGGTGGTTATGTCTCTTTTAGATTTAAAACTTTTCTTAGCTAGTTTACCTCCTACACAAGCATCACAGAAGAACTTGGAATTTTCTTTCAAAACAGGAATCCCTCTGGCTGACTTCATTATGGACAATTTAGATAACTTTGACAAACAAACATGCCCTAGTTTTCTATGCCAAAGCATTTCAACATCATGCAAATTAGCTTGAAAGCAAGTTTCGTTGAAAGTTTTCAGACAGTTCAGATTAACAACATACATATTGTTTTTCTTAGTTCTACGGAATAGCAGTTTATTGTCTTTTATCCTGATGATCTGACATGAATCTGACTCAAATATAGCTATGTTTTCAGTGCTGCAAAGTTGACTTATAGAAAGAAGATTATGTTTCAATCCCTTGACAAATAAAACATCTCTGATAGTACGAAGAGGGTTCTTACCAATTGTACCATTTCTCATTATTATCCCTACTCGATCATCTCCAAATACTACCTTACCACCCCTTTTGTAATTTAAAGAAGAAAACAATTCCTTTTTACATGTCATGTGGTGGGAGCAACCACTGTCCAAAAACCATATGTTCTCATTTTCTCCCAAACTCTGCAATCAATCATAGGTTAGTACATTTTGGTACCCAAAATGTTTTGGATATACCAGGTTTTCTCAGATCTTGCAGATCATAGTAGAATTTTGCCAAGTGGCCATTTCTTTTACAATAAAAGCATGTGTAAATAACATGATATTTCATATATTTTCTGTCCTGAGGGTAGTTATTTTTATTTTTCTTAGTGAAGTAAAACGAAAGGCTAGGTTTCGTTTTAAGCAAATCATTTAGCCTTTGATTTTCATTTGTAAGATCAAATATTTGCTTATTCAGTTTCTCATGACATTCATTCTGGAGGCTCAAAGATCTATTTAGGGTAAGGATTTCCCTTTTTAATGCCTGATTATCAGTCATAAGCAAACAATACTTACTTTTGAGTCTTTTACATTCATCTTGCAAGTTTGTCAGGGCATTAAGAAAATCAGTGTTTGATTCAAAGATATTGTCTGTATCATTGTCTTTTTCTGATTCAGAGTCACTGATTACCTTATAGCACGAAGGAGGCAGTTGATCGTTGCTGCTTGAGGATTGATAATCATGCTCACTTTTGGTTGCAAAGGCCATGTACGCAAGATTTTTGACTTCTTGTTCTTCTTCAGAGCCGAAGTCACTCCAAGAAGCTGTCAATGCTTTTTCCTTAGCTCTGGCTCCTATAGGACACTTAGATCGAATATGCCCTGTCTTGCCACACTTATAGCAGATGGTCAGATCATTTTCACCTTTCTCGACCTTTCTCGACCTTCAGAAGGTCTATCATATGACCTTGGAGTGCTTTTATCAAGGTATGGTCTATATGAGGTGTATCTTTCATTTGCTTTGGTAGGAACTCTTTCAATTTCTTCCCTTTCCTTTTTGTGATCAGGAAACTGATTGTTAACGTGTCTAGAGTCTCGCTATGCTCTTTTTGCTTTAAAATCCTTTTTCATTTTGAGCATACGATGAAAGTTTCTACTTACAGGAGCAAATTCTTTTTCAAATTCTTCCCCCATATCTACCTCAGAATCACTGTCATATTCTTGAGCCTTAAAAGCAATGACTTTTCTTCTTCTATGGTCATCTTTGTTCATTTGAATTATAACTTCTTCATGACTTAGTAGTGATCCAACCAATCTTTCAATAGACAGAGTATTCAAATCCTTAGCTTCCTCAATTGCAGTTCGCTTAGGTAGCCATTCTCTAGGTAAACACCTTAAAATCTTTCTAACTAGATCTATTGTCTCAAACATTTTCCCTAGACCCTTTAGTCTGTTGATCAAGTCATTAAACCGTTTGTACATGCTAGATATTGATTCTCCAGAACTCATTTCAAAGGATTCATATTCATTTAACAAAACATCAATTCTACTGTCTTTGACTTCAGGCGTATCTTCATGGGTAGTCTGAAGAGACTCCCAAATCTCCTTAGCAGACTCACATTGAGCAACTTGACTCCGTTCTTTAGGATAGAGTGCTGAAAGCAAGATGTGCATAGCTCTTGAATCGAGCAGTGATAATATTTTCTGCTCTTCTTTCCACTCTTCTTCATCTTCATCTTCCATAGGAACATGTCCTTTCCTCACAACTGCCCACAACTCCCCATCAACTCCACGAAGGTAAATCCGCATTCTCTTTTTCCAGACTGTATAGTTTGTTCCATCGAACCAATGTGGATTTGTATTTGTAGAGTAAGAAACTGCAGTTGATAAGGACCTAGACATCCCTGAGCAACTCTCTTTGGCGATGACAAATCCTTCAAAGAGTAGGCTCTGATACCAATTGTGGAATCAGAGTGAAAAGAAGAAAATCGAAATTTTGTTGAATTTTAAACAAATACACTTGAACAGGAAGAATCCTAGCCAAGCCAAGAAGCTTGGCCCTTTGAAAAGAAAAAGAAACGCTCAAAACCCCTACTTCCCAAGATACAATCACCCAGTATACACACCCTGTGATTGACCTACTGAAGTAAGTACATGAATGGACCCATGACAGACAAAACAAATACCCAATCACTCTTGCTATCAACCGCCAAGTTCGAAAGAGGGCGATTGATTCCTATTTACAGTGAGAATCATGAAATGACCGTTGCGCTGTTGAGAGAGCCGTTTCCTATAGATTGATCCTTGTAGGGATCATCATTGTCTGAAAAATAGAGGCGGTGGACATCTGCCTAGTTTCTTGTGAGGAGAGAAGAGGGCTGCGAAATGGAGAGCTCGAGAAGGAGAAGAAGACTTTGAAGGACGAAACTCCAAAAATGGTCATAACGCCTCCAATCTTTCATTGTTATGGATGTTACATCGTTTTGGTGAAAGTGACACCGTTTTGGCAAGCAAAGGTCTCCAACATACCATTCAGCAGACAAGAGATAAATACGAGGTCGACGAAAAAGGAGGGAGGATGAGGACTACGATGACTGATGATATTGATGAGAGGCTGACGACAGCAGGATGATAGGATTGACAGTTGGGTTTAGGGTTGTTCGTTCTTTTATTTATCATTCGTCTAAGGAGAGGAGGTGTTGATTCAAGAGAGACAAGGAGGTCACTATACTCGTGAGTCACTACTGGCGATTGAGGATGGAAAACGATGATGTCATTATGAGGAGAGGATGAGTTGTGGGGAGATTCGAGTGGGGCGCGGGTCGGTTACCTGTGGTACATCATCGGGTTTTTTTACTACTAACCGACGATCGACCGGTTAGCAGACTCCCTCTACTCCTCCAACCGACATCGAAAGTTGCACTTAATAAGCAGTTATGTTAGATGACTAATAGACATTATCGATGTGGTTTTGGGGTTAACCTGCTAACCAATAACCAACTGGTACTACTAATATTCACAAAGTATACGAGATTGAGGTGAAAGTTTGGAGAAAAGTTTTCGGATCCAACTAGCTACCATCGATAGAGAAATCTAGGTTCAAAATATCCAAAGAAGGCAAAACTTCTTACCTATTCCCACATATTGCCTTTTCCCAGCCGTTTGACAAGCCGCTTCTTTTTCTCCTCTGATCAAGATACCCAACTGTTTCACCGATCAAAATCAATGTGAGGAAATGTGATTCAATGTTCAGTGGAGAAAGTTGTATCAATACTAATTGCATAATGAATCTCCATCAGAGTGGCCTCTGCTTACTGTGCGGTTGTGCTTTACTAAGAACATTGAAAGATAGAAAAGTACTAAAAGAAAAAACCAGTATTGTCAAAACCAAACCAGACATCGTTTCGGATAAATAAGAGGTTCATTTTTTATCGTATAACCGTTGATTAAACGGTATTAAAAACCGGTCACAAACCGGTGCTTGCTATAGATAAAAAGAAAGAAGAATAGAGTAAGAATAAAAAAATAAAGTCAAAACTGAAAAGGTAAGTGAGTGTAGGAAATTAGCCGTCATTTCCTATTTATCTGTTGCCTTCATTCTTTTGTTTTTTAATTATTAAATAACTGAAATTCCTAAAGCCAGGCGACAGTGTCTTTTCCGCAAGCCCACCCACTTTTATGCTGCTAGGACCGGATCTATGGCCAGGTCCGACCCGGTTTTCATAACACAGGAAAAAACCCACGTGGCACTTTTGTATCAGGGTGGTTCACAGTTGACGTGGAATACTCCATGGGGTCTAAGCAGGCACCGGGATCGGATTGCTTCACTGGGAAATTCTTTAAAGCCTTTTGGGATATTGTGCAGCTCTGTGTCCGAGGCCGTCTGCTCGTTCTTTTCAACAAGCAGGATGCTCAGGAGCTTTAATCACATGTGGCTGACTTTAATCCCCAAAGTTGATAATGTGGAGAATATGACCCAGCTACGCCCCATCAGCTTGTGCCAGTTTGTTTATAAAATTATAACTAAGATCATGGCTGAACGGCTTGCCTGCTTTCTGCCACAAGTCATTTCGGAAGGTCAGAATGCATTTATTCGGGAACGTCAGATTATTGAGAATATCCTCATCGGGCATGAGTCAATGCACTATTTGAAAATCAAAACGCTGGGTAAGAAAGGGTACATGGCTCTAAAAGTTGACATGGAAAAGGCTTATGATAGAGTCAAATGGTCCTTTCTTCTTGCAGTTTTGACAAAAATGGGCTTTAACTCCACCTGGTGTGGATGGATTCATGAATGTCTCCGCTCCTTGTCTTTCTCGGTCTTAATGAATGGTACCCCCTCAGGGTATTTAACTCCCTCCAGGGGGCTTCTACAGGACTACCCTTTATCTCCCCTCTTGTTTGTGATCTATACTGAAGGGTTTGTGACAATCCTTCGAAAGGTTCTAACAGAAAACAAGCTTGGTGGAGTGAAAGTGGCCCCTCGTGCCCCGCGGATCTCGCATATATTCTTTGCAGATGATTCTTATCTTTTCCTGCGAGGTACTCTCCTGGAGTGTGAAAATCTAATTGAGGCCCTGAATGAATATGAGGAACTTAATGGTCAGCGGGTGAATTTGGCGAAATCAGTTGTTTGCTTCAGTAAGAATATTTCTCCTCAGGATCAGGAGTTCTTAGCCGCGATTCTGGGGGTTAGGGTGGTGGGGGTCCATGACAAATATCTAGGTTTGCCTAAATTGCTTGCCCGGTCTAAAATGGCTACCTTCCGATATTTGGAGGAAAAGCTGCTTGAACGCCTCCAGGGATGGAAGCAGCGGACATTATCTTGGGAGGCTAAGGAAACATTAATTAAATCAATTTCCATGGCCTTCCCGATGCATGTGATGTCCTACTTCAAACTGACTGTCTCTCTGTGTAGGCTGTTGGATAGACATGCGGCTCGATTTTGGTGGGGGCGGTGGAGGGCCAGCCCAAGGTTCGATGGATGTCCTGGCGTAACATGTGCAGGAGTAAACATGAGGGGGGAATGGGCTTTCGCCGATTTGAGCAATTTAATCAAGCCCTTTAAGCTAAAATTGGTTGGCGTATCCTCACTGATCCCCAATCTCTGCTTGCCCGAGTGTATAAAGGAAAATATTTTCCTACTGGCACCTTCCTTACTGCCACAGCTCGATCCCGTCCCTCATGGGGGTGGCAGAGCATCATGTTTGGTCGTCAACTTCTGGAAAGGGTCTTCGATGGCAGATTGGTAATGACCAGTCGGCTTTGCTTCACCACTCCAATTGGATTCCTAGGCTTCAACTTGATCCCCCAAGGTTTAATCCCCGGATTTTGCCAGCTGGGGGTGATCAACCTGTAGCGTAGGTTATTTGTCAGGGAGAAGGACGTTGGAATGATGCTAAGCTGGGGCAGTGGTTCGACCCTCCTACCTGTAGAGCTATTAAAGTTATTCCTCTCCCGAGGCAGAATGTGGAGGATAGGTTGATCTGGCATTATACTAGGGATGGGATTTTATCGGTTAAGTCGGCCTATCACCTTGCTGTCTCCCTGGAGAAACGGAGTGGACTTTGGAGGGCGTTGGTCAGTTAGATGGATAAGTCTAGTTGGATTCGAGTGTGGGGAGCTAATATTCCGCCTAAACTTAAGGTGTTTGTCTGGCAGATTCTGAATCACATCCTCCCAACTACAGAAGCTCTCATTGAGAAGAAAGTTCCGGTGCTTCCTCGATGCCCGGTCTGCTGGGATGCACCTGAGACAATGGAACATTTGTTCCCCTACTATCCGGTGGCCCGCGCTCTTTGGGATTATTCTGGGTTGGAGTACCTCGGCGAGGGGCTGCCTCGTCAAACTTTTCCATTATTTCTTAAAAGGCTACTGTCCTTAATTCATCAGCCAGAGCTAGTTATGGCGGTCGTAGCCGTCCTTTGGCGGATCTGGCGGTCTCGGAACTGGGTTGTCTTTGAAGGAAAACAGTATGGGATCCCGGCTCTTATGTGCCAGTTTAATCAGCAGTATGAGGAATGGATAAGGTTTCCGAGATGTCAGGACCACCTGGCCAGTGGCGGACCTAAGGCTAGTAAGGGTGTCGTCCGACACACCCTCGCTCTAGAATTTTGCGAAGGACCTAAATATTTAAGTTACAAATTTTTTTACTTCGGAATAGCAGACACACCTTCAATAATTATAGCCGACACACCTTCATTATAGTCGAAGAATTTATTATCCAAATGAATCAATCTTAATCATAATCCATTTTAATTTTGTTTAAAATAACTCATAAATCATAATCCTATCACTTCCTATTAAAAAAAACAGACTCTCAGCCCATACAATATATATGTGTGATGTGTGTTGGGTCTGTGCCTATAATTAAAAGAGAAGAAAAAAAACCACATCCCAAATGGCCAATATCCCAGGTGGACACTCTTTATCCTTTAGTTTACTTGCTGTTGAAGTTGGTGTTGACTTTACCTGTTGCAACTGCAAGCTGCGAAAGAGCATTTTCAGCTATGAAGATAATCAAGAACGATCTTCGAAATCGGTTGAGTGACCAATTTAAGAATGATTGTTTAGGTGTGTATATTGAAAAAGATTTGCTTTGCAGCGTAAGTGATGAATGTATTTTAGAGACATTTTGTGAACTTTATGAATTAATTTTTTCTTTTAATTTCTACTTAATTTTTTAATTTAATTATTATTGGATTTTATCGGCGACACACCTCTCCGACAATCCTGGGTCCGCCACTGCACCTGGCCCTGCTCCCACGATTACAACAGCTGGAGACAGTCGAGCCTGGCATGGTTGTTTGTATGTGGGATGCGGCTACGAGGAGTGGATCTCACGCGGCAGGGGGGATGGTGATTTTGAATCTGGCTCGGGATATCTTAATGGCTAAAGGAGTTCAGTTTCCAGGAATTGATGATCCTGCTGTGGTGGAATTGCTAGTCCTCCGAGAAGCAATGTTGTGGTGTCTGGAGCATGGTTTCGCGGTGGTAAGATTGGAGGGAGATGCCAAGGTGATTATTGATAAGATCAGGCAGGCAGATACCAGCGATAACCAAATGGGGGCTGTTCTTGATGAAGTAGTACAGTATTTTGCTGCCCATCCTGGGTTGAGTGTTCGATTCGTAGTTCGGCGTTATAATAGGGTAGCTCATGAGGTAGCTAGAAAGGCCCTTTCGTTGTACCCGACTTTGTGTCGTTTCTTTGATTTTCAGACCTGGCTGGAATCCAGGGTGTAACTGTCTTCTATCAATCAATATAAGATTATCTTTTGTAAAATAAAAAAAACTGTAAATCGTAAAACTTTTGGCAAAACTGAGAGTTTAAGGGATTCTAATGTTCACTGATTTCAGAGAAATCATGATTGGTATACATCTTGTTGAGGGAAAAAATCCCAAAGTACACTAGTACTTAAAAAAAAATTCCCAAAATACATAAGTTACAATTTTTTTCCCAAAATACACATGTTTCATATTCATCGTTTTTGTCTAACGCAGTGAACATAATCACCGCTTCAGACAAACACGGTGAAGAATTCACCGTTTTTATTTAAAATGATGACGTATTCACCGTGGTTAAGCAAAACGGTGAATAAGTCACCGCGTTTAATCTAAACGGTGAAGACATCATCGTGTTTGTTGACAACGGTGAATAAGTCATCGTTTTAAGGCAAAGCGGAGAATATATTTACCGCCCTAGGTCACGGCGGTGATTGTTTCCCACGTTTCCCACCCCTGGTAGGTGAAAATTAGGTCACAACCACCTAATATTCACCGCCTTAGGGGCAACGTGGTGATAGTGTTCACCGTTGGAGACAAACGCGGTGAATGCTGGCCGATTTTCTTATAAATACCAGTCCCACTAGCAGTTGTAAAAACGTAACCCCTCTCCCTCTTCAAATTTCTGCAACCAAAACCAAGCAACATACACAGAACATGAATTTTCGGTATGATTTAATTTTTGTATTGTAGCCTAATGATGTTTTTAGTAGTTATATTGTTATGTTATGAATTACTTATCGTAGCAAATATGTTCTGTTAGTTGAGAAATTTATGTTGTTGTTAGTTAGCTGAATTTATGTTATGTTAGTTATGAGATGGAGAAATATTAGTCGTACAATATGGTTTTAGTTAATTTTACTGGAATTAAGCTAATAGTTACTTATTGTAAATTGTAGATATGGGTAAATTCAAGAAGTTTCAGCTTATTATTCGGTGGAATGGAAGGGTGACAAACTCTGACATAGGGATTGATTATGAGGACGGTGAATCCACTATGTTGAAAATTGAGTCGCGATTCAATTTTCAAGAACTCTGTGATATTTGTGCAGACAGGGGTGTGGTATCAATGATGGCCTCTCCAGAAATCGGCAGCCCGGTGAGGATCGCGCCGTTTTTGAGGGTGATCGTCATTTCCCCCTCCGGAAGGTGGAACGTATGGGTTTCGGGGCGCCATCGCTTCGCCATTGCCGTAAGCATATCGTTGTCGATTTCAATCCGCATGAAATGCCTCAGCATACCCAACCCGGTTCTCTATATACGGCGCCAACCAATCATGCCAAGCGGGTAGGTTTGTGGTCCCTTTATGAATGACAGGAATAAGTGATTCCTACAAAAAAAAAACATCAATTTGTTAGTTAAAAGAAAGCAAAATAAAACCTTATAAAATAATAAAATAAAGCAAATAAATCATCAATTTACCGGATTGTTGTCCCAAATTGCACGGGAGCGATGTGCTTCTTGATCGGTTAAATACCTCGTATCTCTTGGCCCATAATGGATATACAATCGAGGATCGTATATCTCGGCACCCATCTATAAAAAAAGTAATGAAATCAGATTGTTTTTATTAAAAAAATCTCAAAATCAAATTGTTGCAATTAAAAAAATCACAAAAGAAAAACCAAGAACCTACCCGAAGAGCCTCTTCATCCATTTTTTGGCGGAAGCCAGACAGAGGTTCGACTGGTTTATAACGGACGGGGGCTTTAGGGTATAACTCCAGTGCATACTTACAACGAGACTAAAGTGGATGGAGGAAGGGAAAAAGAAGAGTAAATGTGGTGGTGTGATTTGGAGGAGGGGGGAGGGGGTGAGGGGTGGGTAGGGGAAGCTTGTGCGTAAAACAGTCACTGCGCCATCACCGCATTTGACAAAGGTAGTGAATAAACCGCCTTTATCGAAGACGGCGAAGGGCACAGTTCGAGTGACGTGGGACGCTATGAGGCGTCGTATCTGAGAAGAAAAACAAAATCCGCGCCTCACCGCATCCAACGACAACGGTGAGCTATCCGCGACGCGGATCGTTGACGTGGACAAACACGGGGTATTTACCGCTTTTGTCTAACACGATGAATGCACCGCGTTTGTCCACATCAGCGATCCGCGTCGCTTTCATCGTGGTCGTTCGATACGGGGAATATTTCACCGCGTTTTAATAAAACAGTGATGTCTTCACCGTTTTCGTTTAAGGCGATGAATGGTTCCCTCGTTATTCACCGTTTTGCTTAACAACGGTGAATACATCATCGTTTTAAATAAAAACGGTGAAATGTTCACCGTGTTTTTTAATGCGGTGATTATATTCACTGCGTTAGACAAAAACGGTGAATGTGAAACATGTGTATTTTGAGAATTATTTTTTATAACTTATGTATTTTGGGAATTTTTTTAAGTACCAGTGTACTTTGGAATTTTTCCTCTTGTTGAGTGTGTGCCTTCTCAGAAAAGTGAGGTGCATATTCCCCAAGACCCAATTTCCATGGGTTGCTGCTGCATAAATTGATAACAGATTAACAACGAGATCAAAACTTTGTCCTATAATGTAAACATCCAGTCTAGTACGTCCTATGTAGTCTTGTCATTATACAAGCTCTTAAAGTCAGAATTGCCGACTGCTTGCGCATGGGTTTTGAGAAGTATAGAAGTCGAGTGAACTTGAGAATGTAATAAAAGATCTACCAGGGGGCAATCCAGAATCCAGCCTCCTCAAAACAGTTCCAGAAAAAGAATAGAAGTAATGAGCCATGAATTATTTGGGCAATGCTCTAAAGGGGTAAAACTTTTTAACACGATTCATGGTATTCCAGAGACTGAGACGTACAAAACAGACCCGTACCCCAACCATCAGGGACAAAAATAAAAAGGAAGAGCAATCAGACACGAAAACCAAGTTATCAAAGCTTTCTGAACCTGAAGCTGCTGAAATGTGTACGTTTGGAAAGAACTCATCATCCACAAATTCTTTTTATTCCAATTGGAAAGTCGGAATGCTGATACGCCTCTAGTGATGATGGTCGTCGCCATGTCCAGCTTCAGGGTCTCCTCCAGGTCCCACAACTTCCAGCTACAGACAAAACCAATCCAATTCAGAAGCTGATCTATGTCTAAAATCAATTTGTTTGCAATTTGGTACCCTTGTAACAAAGGGCCACTCTAGCAGTCAGTCAACTAGCCTAGTAGGGTTTCAATGAGAGCTTTGCCCTATAAGCTAAGAGGGACCATTTCTAATCCGAAACTCAGTCGCTCTCGGAGCAAAAAACAAAATACTCTCTTCTTATTGTTCCTGACTGCTTTCTTGATACCAACATTCAACAGATAGTAATAGGTATGCAGTAAAATTAGGTTTCCAATACTAGGTTTTCGCAAACACAAACTAAGTAGCCGTTAAATCATATAATGACTTAGCCAACAATGAGTACAAAGCACACAACTAGAATGCATGAGGATCACATCAACAAACTGACAGATCAGCATCACGAATGCGACAGTACATTGACCAGGTAAGGTCGTAAATATGTATGGGGGTAATACCAGCAAGCATGCAACTACAATATAAGAAGTGCTTCTGATGATCTAAGCAAGAAGGGAGTCCTCACCCTTAGAACTTTGGTGCTTGAGGAATAGTGGTCAAAGTTCATGTTCAGAGCAAAAACCAGTGCACGATGAATGATGATGCAAGACTTTACAAGTTACCTTCATAAGTATCTAGTTTGAGCTTTTAAGCATTCAGTTAAAACAAGGTTTGGCACTATGTCTTAGCTACATGGTATGGAAGAAAAAGCGATGTCAGGAAGGTCAGAATGCTCATATTCCTTGGGATTCCAAAATTAGGCTAACAAACAGGGTGCCTTTTCATTCATTATATCCTACCATTAAGTCCATCCACTCCATCATAGCATAAAGTATCCAATGCTGAGATCCAGATTCAATAGTCAATATACATATTGCTTGAAATTTCAAAACAAGCATCTACACTTACCACAAAGTACTGCGAGCAGACAGGACACTCAAAATGCTTGCCTTTCTCCAACCAAAACCAGACAACATCATGTTCATCCTCTGTCAACAAAAAAGATCCAAATGAAGTGACATAAGTTTCTGAAGATGTGATATTACTCCTTTATTCTCAATTCTCCAGGAAGGGAATAAAAGGAGCAGGGGAGTTGCAATAAGGCCAGCGGTTGGGAATAGTCACTCACCTCCTTCACCTCCAGGGCATCCAACTACCCTCCTGTCATAGTAAGACTTGACAATAGCAGGTTCTTCCTGCAGGAATCACAAAATATACTAAGACTCAATCGAGCTACATACTGCCACTAGTACTGCATACATGTGTGCTGAAAAGAAGAATCCCAAAGGAGCTAACCATAGGCATTTGTATCTATTGAAACTGTAACCAGTGCAATGAAAATCACAGGATCAAATGATTTAACAACTCGAGGAGAAATAGAGTTTCATTTACATAAGCTGTATAGTCCACAAACATCTATAGTTCTACAATGAAAAAGCTATTAATCTTTCACAATCTAATGACTCTAGGTTATGGTATATTTCTTGACCTATTTGTTCATAGCATTCCAACTGCATATAAGATTATTAAAAGTTGTAATTATTCCAAACTAAATATAATAAAATAGTGATGGAATTATTGATTTTATAACTTACACTACATAAACTTCCCAAATACTATGATTCATATGAGTAATTTCTCATTATATTTTGAAGTATATGTGATGTATGCATATCATTGAAAGTAATTCGAGCTGTTTGGGAAAAACAGGAAAAAGGTTGAATGAAGCCGATGGCTGCATAAAGAATTCAAAAAAGGAGGGGGAAACTAAGAAGCCCAAAGAAAGGGATGGAAAGCGAACTGCAACATCAGTCTTCCAAAATGTAGCCAATGGACATAAAGCCAGCTAGCAATATAACTTTGTCACAAGCAGAGCAAGATAGTTTCCAAGCACATAAGGCAAATAGTCAAAAACAGGACTTATTAGCAGGTTAAAACTCACTAAAATTATAAATAAAAAAAATCCTGATAGTAGAAGGGGTGTACAAGGCACATGTTTAATGCACTAACCTTTGTGCCAAATGGACCAGCTGGGTGGTTAATGTCAAGAATATCTTTTCCCTGAAAAAGTAGAAATTTCAAGAATACATGTGAAGCGATGAAAGAGAACATCCCATCCATTACAATTACATTTCTCATGCTTCAGCAGAAAATGTCTCACAAACAAGTCTGCTAATTACAACCACACATTAGCAGTGCATACATCTGTTGTGGACATACATATGCAACACTAAACTTCCCACTCCAGTCACTAACGCAACAAATTAACATCACATATGCTCATACTTCAATTTCTATTGGGTTATAGGTATAATATGCCCCTCTACTATGATGTTTTATCAAACATGCCCTTTTACTATTTTTTACATCAAACATGCCCATGTACTTTGTAAAAATTATCAAACATGCACTTTTGTTAAAATTTTCATCCAAAAACAATTAATCAACGCCGAACTTTGGTTTGGACGACACACATGTCTAAAATATCCCTAATAATTTCACTTTAGAATTTTTTTGGTTCTTTTATATAGCCAAATAATTCAAATAATTTCACTTTGAAGAAACCCAGAGAAATAAAACGAGGGACAAAACTGATATTTTCCCTCCTACATACCAATGTCGGGTTGTCCAAATCTCGGTTCAACCATGATTGACGATTTTTTTCAACGGAATTTTAGCATAAGGGCATGTTTGATAATTTTGTCAAAGTATAGGGGCATGTTTGATGTAAAAAATAGTAGAGGGGCACGTTCGATAAACCGTAATAGTAGAGGGGCATATTATACCTATAACCCATTTCTATTCGAAAATACAAATTTGAACACATTTGACAAAAAATCGAAAACCTCAGACCAACTCATTCACCGTCCTTTTCTGCATCAACAATGAATAAATGTAGGCACGCACCTGCAGTTCTGCTTCAAGCTCTTCACGTTCATGGCCAGTGGCAATAGGCATCACATCCTCGACTGGCTTTTTCAATGCATCATCTGCAAGACAACCCCAAAAGCTTTCTCGTTCAATCGATATAAAGAGAGATACCTGTACGAGAAAACGAGCACACTGCGATTCCAACACCGATAAAATCCACTTAAATCTAACTCCAGATGAGCCAAGGTGAACCAATAAAGGCAGAATCAGAACCAGTTACAATCTCATCATTTCGGCCATTTCACGTCAAAACATCAATTGAAAATCAAAACGGAGAGCCATGAAATTCTCCAAACAACGAGAACAGCCACATACGCGAGAAAGAAAATTCCAAAAGAAGAAAAAAGAAAGTTGACATTCAATGAATAGAGACGATGATCTAAAAATTGGGGGTCTAATCACTAATGATATTTTCTCTCGAACCTGTGCTGAAATATCGGTTGAACAGAGAAGAAGATGCCGCCTGATAAATGAAGGATCTATCAGTGTGACGGAATCGAGAAGGCAGAGACGAAGAGGAGGCCTTGCCCCCAGCGGCGGCGAGGGTTTTGAGCTGCGAACAAACTGCCCTTCTCCACATGGTTACCAGTCGCCGGTGGATTGTGATGGGTGTGAGGCTGGATCTCAGGTCGCCCTCCGCAGCTGCGTTTGTGTGGCTGGTTTCAGTGAGTCTCGCGAGCCTTTTCTTCTCTTTCTCCGAGCGCCCTCCGGGATTGGAGACTGGGGGAAAGGAATGGCATAAAAGGTGCCAAAAACAGAAAACGGGTTGCGAATTGGGCCGCCGCTCGCCACGCGAATTACTCCACAGGGCGAGTTCAGACTTCAGAAACGGCAAGCTATTTTCGGTTGGGCTGTATAAGGGTTAGAGGTTTGGGTTTCACTTTACCTTCCAAATCTTTGGGTTCATTCACTAGCCATGTTGCTAAGTTTTGGTTACCTATTGTGATTTGGGGGTTCGTTTATATACCATTTTGTTTTTCTTCAAAGGAGGCTTTTAAGCCAAGAATAGAGTTACAAGGGGAGTACAAAAACAACTAGTGACAAATCAAAGCAATGCCTCTTTCAAATAACATGAAAGAGTTGATCGACCTGTCCACCCCATACCCGCCCTGACCCGCATTAGCGTGGGGCGGGGTATGGGTATTGAGGTACCCCTCGCCATGTCCCATTTTCATCACTAAGTGAAAGTAGTTCCATAATGGTTACAATTGTTTTAACAGGGGTAGGACCTCAGATCACCTTCATCGCACAAGGAGTCACTTTTTGAGTTTGTCAAGAAGTGTTCCACTGACTCCCATGAATCCTGGTGCATACTTGCCAAGTCAGCTATGTTGACCTCAAGCTTAGATTTATAGAACTAAGCATGGAAGATCTACTCTATCTGTACCCATGACCTCAAGCTTAATGATGCTAAATAATCTTAACAAAATCTATCACATCTCCGCAATGGTCAATGAAATGTCCAATGTGCTCCACAATGGGATGACCCCCCACCCTAGTGAAAAAAAAAACAAACACGGGCACCCTGAAAAATCTTGTAACAGGTAGAGTCTATCTACCCATTTAGAGTAAGGTTTTTGGAACATGAGTGGCATGGAGGGTCTCATTCCCATTCTGAATTGCTCGATGAGAAGTTGAGCCAACTATCCTTTAGAGTATTGAGATCATTCCCCCATGTTGCCACCTAGGGGGTATGAACCCCATGGGGTCCATGCCATGTCAATTGAAATGGGGTGGCATGGGTGCCGGCATGCCCCTTAGGAAACTTTCCCCACCTCAACTTACTACACTCGCAAATGAGCAGACACCGTATAGGACCTCGCCACTGGTATGGGTATAGATAGCTGTGGAATTCTCGCTATGTGGGGCTAGTTCTCCAATTTCCATATTGAGTGACCCCTACACTTGCGTAGTGGACGGAAGTTATCTTGCCTTGGCAAACCATTGCGGCCGGCAGCAAGAGACTAACTTGTATTTCTAAAAGTATTTTTGTGGCTGAATTCATGCCATTTATTAGCAAAACTCTAGATTGGAGTATTGGTGTGGTTAAAATCTTTTAAACTCATCATAATAATTTTTATTTTTGATAACCACCTCAATAGTTAATTCAAACATCTATCTACCAGAAAATTGAGACAATTCATTTGGAAATTTACCTAATGAGCAATGACCCTTTACTCCTTCATCATGTGACGGTTCTTCAAAATCATTTGGTGGTTCTCATCTGTGGTTTAATGATTCTATCATTCTATCCCACTAGTTTACGATTCTCCTTCATTGTTTGACAAAGGACTCCCTCTGCTTCACCGAAATCTCCACTAGGTGCCGCCATTGGAAGGACCTTCGCTTTCCCATTATTTCTAGCCACCACCTCTAATGCTTGGACAAATTCAATGTTGGCAACATGTTCCTAATTCCTCTATCTCGGAGACATCAAATTGAACAGAAGAGTCCCACTGGCCGAGCCAATTTGTTTTCTAGTGAGGAAAATTGAGTTAAGACAAAATTGAGTTGAACATTTGACTTCTTACCAAACGATTACTAAACACAGTTCACACCTCTTTGAACAAAGTTAAAACATGGGTGTTCAATGTTTTTTATGATCTACTAGACAAAGCTATGTTAAATTAAACCTACTCCTATTGAGGCCTAGTGAGAGCATATAATTACAACTATGACCAAACTTGCAGAGGAAAAAATAAAAATAACAAATTAGACATTAGGTTATATGGTGTAAATTTGGCTAACATTTACTCAGTCATCTTCATCACCTATTTATGGCCACAAGAAGTAACTATATTGAAAAATCGATCTGCTAACGGGGAATGATGTTTACTCTCAAGTGCTCCGATGGTGACCGACATCGGTAGTGGTCTTCTCTCCAGTATTGGTCCCCTGCACTAAGTAGTATTCCTTACCTTTATCGGCAGAGAAAAATGACTAAGGCATGGAGACCCCTATTGTCACATGTGAGTGAGTGTTCAGATGAGGTGGGTCAAAATGACACTAAGAGGTACACTGATGACACCATCACATGAGGATATCGTTACTACTTAAACAAATTATGCTCCCACCTCCTCGCATCAGGAGGTATTGCTGATGATCCCCTCGCCAAATCTAGTCAAATTTTGGTGTAGATGGCGTGATAGTGGAAGCGCAGGTGTGATGGCACATGTGCCATGGCCAAAAATTTAATCCATATGGCTCATCTTAATTTTGTTGGACCGTTGTAATTAACTCAGAAAATTAAAAAAGTCAATTTTCTTTTTGAATTAAAGGTAGGAAAGAAATCATATCAATTTTTTCCCCCGTTGAATCAGATTCTTCTCATTAAACTAGCATCACATATCATGATGTTGAATCGATACAACGAAAGGGAGACCAGTTGTAGCCTTCCCTGTAAAAAAAAATTCCTATCTCCACTCTCTCCACTATCTACTCTCTGAAATTGCTTTATCATCAACTATGGTATCTATCAAGTAAACCTATACTTTCAAAATCAGAAGACAATAAAATATCACCACTCAAATGACAACTCAAGTCATATTGAAAGCCTCTCCAGACTTCCTCCACACTCCTGAAATTCTCACCTTGGAGTCTGCGACATCGTTCTCTCCATATCGCTGCAGACAGTCCACACCAGGGTACACAAATAGTTCTTCCCGCTGGGGTATGTTTCTTAGCCAATCCACTCGCCAACCTCACTGCTCTCTCCCAGGGTTTTGCAAACCACTGGCTTACACCAGCTACCTACACAAGCTGCTGCACAAACACACAATCAAAGAACAAATTTTCTCTACTCTCACTTCCCAATCCACATAGCAAATATTTATCATCACTGATTTTTCCCCATCTAAACAACTTGCTTCGAGTTGTCAAAGCATTTATCATTATTAGCCAAGCAATAAAACTATATCTAGGGATACTGCATTTCCCCCAGACCAACTGACTCCATTCCTGCTTGCTGCACTTAGGATGGAGTGTGTTCCATACTCTTTTTGCTGAGTACTGCTCCGTAGGCTGTCCCTCCCAAAGTACCCTATCCCCATGTCTAATAAAGAGATGATGCACTTTAGGACGAAGGCGCAACATTTCCTCCACGCCCAAGATCTGCTGAAATTCACCTTGAGCTGCCACACATCCTCCCCTTCACAGCGACAAGCTTCCACCCAGGCAACCCACAAAGCACCTGATTGCATCAACATAAGCCACAAAAGTCGTAACGAGCAAGCTTGATTCCAGGAGGTCAGATCTCGCAATCCTAGACCACCCTCAGATTTGGGGAGCGTAATACGCTCCCATGCTACTTTTGCCCTTCCTGTTTCCTCACCATGCCATAGAAAGTCTGGCCATACCTTTTGAATTCTTTTTAAAATCTTCTTTGGTAGGATAATAATCTGCAACCAGTAATGGACCACACTCATCAGCACTGAGGAAACCAACTGTAAACGCCCTGCATAAGACAGCTTCTTAGACATCCATGACGTGACTTTCTTTGTGATTTTACAAATGAGAACATCATACTCCTTATCTGTGAGCTTTCCCGAGTGCAGAGGAAATCCTAGATATCGAATTGGGAGTGTTCCTTCCTTTGAAACCAGTAAGAGTAGTGGCTTTCTGCTTGTATTTATAAGACTCACCCCCAAAATAGATCTCGCACTTACTTGGGTTACAACGCAATCCAGACAGTACGTAGAAGTTCTGCAGTATTTGTTCAACACTATTGATTGCTTTCCTTGGCCTCTCTATAAATATCAACAAGTCGTCTGCAAAACACAAATGACTCATTTCCACCTGCTTATATCGAGGGTGATATGGAAGCCTTCCTGCTTGAGTAGCCTCATTCAATAAACCCGTTAGACCTTCCATCGCAATGGAAAAAAGGTATGGGGAGATCGGGTCTTCCTGCCTTACTCCTTTGGCAGCCTTAAAGAACCAACACAAACCACCATTTATGTTCAAACTGAATTGGGCAGTCTGCAAGCAAGCCTTAATCCAGCTTAGGAATTCATTTGGGAAACCCATTGCCTTCATAACCTTGAATAAGTAGTCCCAACTCACCGAGTCAAACGCCTTCATAAGATCTGCTTTAATCGCACAACGAGAAGATAACATTCTCCTATGATACCCATTGACAAGTTCCTGTGCTAGCATGATGTTATCCATAATTCTACGCCCTTTTATAAACGCAGTCTGATTTAGACTAATAACTATAGGTAAAACTTCTCTAATCCTCTTGGACAACATCTTGGCAACTATCTTATAGACTACATTCACACAAGAGATATGTCTAAAGTCTTTAAGATGAGTAGCATTTGGTACCTTTGGACAAAGTGAGATAACTGTAGAGTTAATTCTAATAATCATTCTTTTTGTCCAGAAGAACTCTAAGATAGCGCTGGTCACATCTCTTCCCACTATATGCCAGGTTTTCTAGAAGAAACATGCAGTAAACCCATCAGGGTATGAGGCTTTGTGAATATCCATGCTGAAAATTGCCTCTCGTACATCTTCTTCTTTGAATGGACTACTTGACATGCTTTGCTCGGTTTCAGCCAAATGCCTTTTGATTACCTTACAAATCCTCTCTTCATTAGCAGACACCTCCTCATTAATCACACCAAACAGGCCCTTATAAAATCGAATACCCTCAGCCTCAATTTCATCTACATCAGTCACTGCAGTTTTTGCAGTCTGAATCCGTACAGCTTGATGGAAGAATCTAGTTCCCAGGTCACCTTTAGTAAGCCAAGATTCTCTAGACTTCCTTTTAAAGAAATCCTCTTAAGACTTCCTTAACATTTCAAACTGCTCATGAAGCATTTTCTTATCCTTGAAGTTCTCCTCTGTTGGTTCCATTAAGGCAAGTGTCTGAGATACTAGAAGTTGTTGCTCCACTACCCGAACTTGTTCACTAATATTGTCATACACTTCTCTGTTCAACTTCTTGAGCTCCCTTTTCACGACTTTTAGCTTGCATTGCACTAAATACAGCAGATTCCCTGTGAATTGAGTATCCCATGCTTGCCCTACAATCTCCGAAAACTTCGGATTGTTTGTCCAAAAGTCAAAGTATTTAAAAGGCTTAGTGATAACGTCGTATTTGCACATGTTTGCACCCTCGTTTCTTGATCATTTTGGCTTGAGTTTTTGCTCTCTTGGACTATTTTATGCTAGGTTGTGTTCCTTTGTCACATTTCAGGTCCTAGCATGTAAATTGAAGCAAAGGCGCAAGTTTCAAGTCAATCAGAATTCATTTGGCAATTCAGGAGAAAAAACACGAGCATGACCTGAGGAATAATGGATTTCTATCTCATTTTATGGACAAAAAATCATGGAAGTTTATTATGAAAAGAAAGAGGACGAGACTACGAGATTCTGGGTTCAAACGACGACTAATTCAGAGTCCTAACGAGGGAGAAACGAAGCATTAAACAGGAGCGGAGGAAGAATTACGGGCAGCCCCTGCCCAATTACGGGCGTAATTGCTTCTGTCATTCCCGTAAATGCAATGCCGAGCCTAAATCACTGAGAATTCCTGTCGCAGAGCAAATTACGGGCAAGAGTGGACTCATTTACAGTCGTAATTACTTAAATACTGGCAGTAATTGGGTAATTACGACCGTAATTACCTTCCTAAGAGTTTAGTGAAACGCGCGTTTTAGGTGAATTACGGGCAGACCATGATT